ACTGGGCACCCCATTCCTGGCTCTGCAGACTGAGGATGACTGGGAGGCACATCCTGGAGGGTGTTTTGGGTCCCCTGAGCAAGAGTGCATATTCTAGACTCAGCCGTCGGGACCCCACATCTTCCCTCTGTTGTAACAGAGTTAGCAGGTCTGGGCACCCTGAGGGACCCCTCCCCATAAGTGCTTGCAGTGGAGAATCTCAGAGGGAATAGGGTGGCCGACACTGTCAGGCTGGAGAAGGTGAGACCCTTGCTCTGTTGTGGATGAAACAGCTGGAGGCCACAGGAAGTCCCCTGGGAGGCAGTGAGGAGTGAGGAGCAGCCCCTTCGTAACTGGACCAAAGTGGGTTGGCTCCTTGGTGAGGTAGAGACAGAGACTACCCAGGGAGAGCGCTGGTACCCACAAAGTTGTCTTTATTTGTACAGATAAGGGATCACAGGGAATAATTTCCAAACCTCCGATGCTAAACAGGGGCACGCAGGCTCTATTGGTTAGGGTCAAGATGAATATTCCGAGGGGGATTTTAACAGTATAATGAGGCTGAGGTTACTGTCAGCCATTTTTTGATTCATCTGCTCCTTTCCACCTGCATTTCAGTGATAAATTCTAAGCAAAACTGCTTGCATTCCCTTACTTGCCCCTCCCTGCAACCCCGGGAAGGAGAAAGGCATGCCACGGCCACCCCTCCCGTGGACTGGCCAGCCTGGTCCCGGCTTCCATGGGGGTCCCGCCCCACCCCTGCATCCCCTGCAGGGACTGCTGCACAGGCTCTCTGAACTCAGTGAGGTTTGCAGGGAGGTGGCTAGGATGGTTGATACCAAGAGTGAGACCCACTAGAAATGTCGTTCCTGTGCCCAGATCGGTGGGAAGTCACCTGGCAGAGATGAGAAGGGGGACTTGAACTCAGGCCTGGAACTGCACCTGGGCCAACTCCCTGACTCAGAGTTCAGCTCTGGAGCCTCGGGTCCTCCTCTGTGGGATGAGGAGATGACACGGCCCTCCCCACACGATCAGAAGGGCGGAGGGTTCTCCACAGTGTCACACACTTATCCTTAGTGCTGATGACCACAGTCATGCTTACTGTTCATAAATGCTCCTCTTGTAGCCAAACCCTCTCCCCCCGTGGTGTCGGGTCCCACGGCCAGGGCCTCACCTGAGCAGACCGTCAACTTCACCTGCAAGTCCCACGGCTTCTCCCCCAAAAACATCACCCTGAGATGGTTCAAAAACGGGAATGAACTGGCAGCCTCCCAGA